AAGGCATCACCTTGTAGCAGTACGTTCCACGGTCAGTGATGAAGGACGTCTTTTCCTGGTCGTCTTTATGCATGAGAATTTGGTTGTACCCGGAGAAGGCGTCCATGAACGATAGAAGCTCGTTTCCTGCCGTGGCCTCAACGAGCCGATCGATATGTGGCAAAGGGTAGCAATCCTTTGGACATGCCTTGTTTAGATCGGTGAAGTCGACGCACACCCGCCATTTACCGTTCTTCTTTTTTACTACGACGGGGTTTGCCAACCACTCCGGGTAGCGAACTTCAACAATGGAACCGGCGCCTAATAGCTTTTCGACCTCGTCGTTTACCGCTTTAGCTCGCTCTGGACCCAATTTGCGTCTTTTCTGCTTTACAGGCTTGAAGGTTGGATCCACGCCGAGCTCGTGGGATGTTATCGAGGGGTCGATACCCGGCATGTCTTCGACACTCCATGCGAAGGTCGACGAATTTCCAGTGAGTAGGGCCACGAGGGCCGCTCTGATTTCTGAACTAATTTCCGCTCCAATATTTACACATCGTAGTGGGTCTGACGCGTCAATATTCACGAGTTCTGTTCGGCTCAGCTCCGATTCCTCATAGGATTTGCCCGGCGCCTTCACCGTTGCGGAGCTGGGCGCGGGCTCCTGCTTCTTTGGTTGCTATAACTTCTTCTCGGCGCGGTTCTTGTGTTCGATCAGAAAACACGTCCGCGCTACTTGCTGATTTCCTCTGAGGGTGAAGACTCCTTGATGAGTGGGAAACTTGACGCACTGGTGGTAGGTAGACGCGATGGCCTGCATTTGATGAAGCCACGGCGTCCCTAAGATTACGTTGTATATCGCCGGCTTGTCAATAACAACGAACTTAACCCAGGCGATCGTGCCACCGACGAACGTGGGCAGCTTGATGGTGCCTAGGGACATGATGAAGTCTCCATCGAAACCCGCCAATGGTCGAGAGCGCGGCTTTATTCGTCGGTTGGCGACATTCATCGCGGTGAGAGTATCTTTAAAAATCAGGTCGACTGAGCTGCCTGTATCAATCATGACGCGTGTGACGCGGCTGTCGCTGACGATGAGCTCGACGACAAGGGGATCGTTGTGGGGGAGATCGACTCCGACGAGGTCGTCTTTTGTGAATGAAATGGGTTCGATCTCCTCGAGAGGTTGGCTCGATGTTACTGGCCACGTCTTCATCATCTCGGCCTTCTTTCGGTATTGTTTAATCGAACGGACTGAATCGTTGCAATTTTGGAGGCCGCCCATGATCATATGAATTTGTCGGACAACTTTGGGAGCGTCGGCGATAGCTTTGCCCTGGCGTTGTCTTTTGGCCGGGTCGTTCGCTTGATCGTCGTCGCCGGCGACTTCTTCGGCAAGACCCTCGAGGAACTGCCGAGCAGCTGTTTCAGTACGTCTTTGATTTTTGTTACTCCCTTGGGGGCGGTCGCATTCAATGGCGATGCCGCCGCTTTTGTACTTAGCCATGAGGAGTCCTTGCAGGTAACGGCAATCCTCCGTTGCGTGGGCTTTGCTCTTATGATATGCACAATATACCGGCCCCGTGGCATCGGCGTCGGTGTCTCTTGACCATTTGTTCCAAGGTTTGTGCGCCGTGTTTTCGCTATTTATGGCGAACGTGGCCGGCTTTCTTCCATGGCTCGTATTGCGGTCTAGGTGTTGTTTTGGCTCCGCAGACTTCACTGTGGGAGCTTCCTTCGGCGCCGGCGCCTTCGTCACACCGTGCTTTTTTGAGAGGACGAGCCGCTCCTCCTCTAGTTCGATGTATCTCGTTGCTCTGTGAAGCGCGTCCTCGAGTGTGTTTGGGACGTGGAGCGTGATATCATCTCTAAATCTGGAGTCGTACCACACCGCGTTGCGTAGGGCCACGATCGCGGCTTCGTCTGGTATAACGATTCGGGTGATGACGTCTTTGAAACGGTCGATAAACAATCGGAGGGACTCCGTAGGTCCTTGTGAGAGGGACCAGAGGTCGGCATTAGTTGTTTGGTTCTGTATGAGTGGCGAGTAGTGCTTGAGGAACGTTACGGACAGTTGCCGGTAACTGCTAATTGAATTCGGCTTAAGCCTCGAGAACCAGTTGAGGGCGGCGCCGGTTAGATGTTCGGTAAAAATCTGACACTGCCCTGCTTCGAAGTTTTCGTCAGTTAGTTCGGCTCGGTTGATCGCTATGCTGAATGATGTTAAGAATTCCTTCGGATCGCCCTTTCCGTTGTAGGGCTCGAGCTTAATCTTCTGACGTCCTCGAAGTGAAACACTGGTTATCCTCCGAGTGAAGGGTGTTTGCTGTGTTTCGTCGAGGACGCGGTCGAGTTCCGGTGCGGCGCTTATGGCCTTGTGAACCTTCGTGTTCATGTCCAGGACAATGCGTCGCAGTTCAGCAAGTTCGAGGTCCCGGGCACTCTCGCTTGATGAAGTTACAGGATGGATTTGCCGAGCTGGCACTAGGTTTCCTTGAGCAGGTCGTACACCTTGCGTCTGACTTGCGTTTAGGCGATTGATTTCGTCCTGGGCGCAAGCCTGGGCTGCTGCCAGAGATTCGAGTCGCTCGTTCGTCCTGGCCTCTTGCTGGCTCAGGTGCGTGAGGATGTTTTGAAGCAGGTCGTTCGGTTCGCTGCGGTCCTGACTCCTTTGGTTCGTCGCGTTACGTCCATTTGAGGGAGTTATCTGAGCGTCAGGATGTGGTGCAGGGTGCGGTTCGGTATCTGCCGCGGTAGGTCCTTCCGGCGTCGGGGGTAGCGAAGGCGGTGCGGCTGCGGGCGTGCATGCTTCTCCTCCCGAGCTGGAGGCACTTGCGCCGAGTGCGTTGTGGAATGCGTCTGTCATCTTTGCTGTTTCGTCGGTTCGTAGTTTTGAGAGAAATCTTCGAGCTTTCCCCTACCTGGCGCGCCAACTGTTGATCCTCAAAATCACACAAGTACGTATTCGAAGTCTTAAGGGTAAAAGAAGAATCTCTTATTTAAAGAACGACCCGACGATTACAAAAATAGACGAGCTAAAAACTTAGAGTACGAGCCGAGCCGCAAAATGCTCTGACGGTTGCACGATATTCTCTGTCAAAGCGGTTATTTCGGGATCTCCTGCGCAATCATTTCCTCCTCCTATTTATAGGGTGCAGAGGTAGGGTACCCTGTGCGTCCGAAATGTCCCTTTTGCCCCTAGGTCGGTGGGAGCACGTCTACTGGGCTCTTCTTGGGCCTTAAGGCATTTCAGATCCGCTGGGCCGCAGAGGATGATGGATTTGCTTAAGATTTCGGGCCCGAGCCCAAAATCCACCATCAACAATACACTATATAAACTGCAAGATTACATGTCTTGGTCATGTTATCGTAACTTAAATAAACTTAAAACGTGTATTGGCGTAAACTACACAACCAGCTTCTTCCAATTACCGAGTCATAATTACGTAAGGTTCATTAAACGTTAAGCAAAATCGACGAGTCTACAATGAAAAAGAAAGTACTCCCTAGAGAATTATTAAGCATGGGTGTTAATGATAATTGGTGGTCCTAGCTAATCCCTAGAGAATGGGCCAGTGATGTGTCCTGAAGAAAGACCCGAATGGGAGACAAAAAGCCACATAGTGAGATCTTTGTCTTGAATTTGTTTCGGTTAAGTGTACTTTCTTCTTCCTATCGGCTGGAACAAACATTAAGATTGTGAATGCATAATAAATATAGTTGATGTGTTTGTAATTACTTAGTATAATCAGTAGGGTTAAGTGGAACATTATAGTCAAAATAGTACTCCCTCCATTTTCCAGACTACATATTTTAGATATTATTTTGTTTTACAAAGATAGAGGCATAAATTAAAATCATAAAGGCAAAAAATAGCTAAATATTCGAATAGTTCTGTTGGAAGCTGATGATCATGGTATTCATGATTAGAAGTTTTGATTTATAATTGTAAAAAATTGAATATTGAAAATGTCTGTTGAGTAAGCACAAAGTCATGATCACGTAATTAGATCAAATAACAGAGACAGAAAACAGACAGAATTTTGAAAAGAGGGATTGAGAAGAATTGACTATGACTAGTCTCTTGTTTTTATTATGGTTAAATCCATAACTGGAATTTCTCATCTAATAAATGATTTGCTTCAATGCGCCTTAAATTTTTGCAAAATATGATTCTGGATAATATATATAATGTGTTCTATTCTTATTTTTTGGTCAAAACAAATAATGTATTCAAATTAATATATTGAAAAATATATATTTGATTTTGCTCGCAAGACCTGAAGTAAGAATTTATCTTCATTTGTAAGCATTTTTGTGTCATACATATTTGTTAGATGTGTATGTAGATATCATTTTAAGTTAATCACTAAGTAAATGTGTGTTTTTGGTATGAGAGTAACTAATAAAGTGTCTCAAACTCTCAATGTAGACCACAAAGTACTAAATCTTGATATATGCACTATAGATTCCATTTGCATATGATACCAGTTAGATTACCAATATATAATTTGTTTTCTCTTCTTTTAATTGCCTTTAAAGTATTTTTTTATATATAAACTTCATAAAGCCATTGTTGCTTTCTGCTTAAAACTTTTAAGAGTATTTTTGGGAGACCGTGTCCCTCACTACGAGAACCTCAAAGAGTATGTGCCTCTGACTGTGAGCTGTAGACTTCTATAATCATCAAACAACAAATCTAATCAATAAAGAACTTAAAAATCAAATTTTGTATAGTGTTATCTATAATTTATTAAATTATCTAGATAATGTCTTGTTATTAAAGATCTAAATATAGAACAACATGTGGGATCGTTTAGGGATCCACAAAACTTTAGACAATATCATGACATGAACACCATAACCATTACTACTTCACTTGGATCTCATTCTTCTTATGCCCCCACAAAAGAAGTCAAGCACTGATCTGGCAAGTCTTTGACTGCCGTACCCATTTCGCCACGTGTCCAACTTTAACTTTGTTCCTATATAAACACAACTAATAAACAGTTAAACACATTCACAAACAAGTAACGTTTTGAAGATGGAGGATGGCCAACAAAGTACTCCAAACTCCGGCCAGACCAAACCCGAGACGTCATTATCATCGGACTTCGAGTTTGGATCATTGACTCCCTCATCTCCATCGCAAGACCCCTTCTCGGAAAATTCTCCCGCCGATCATCTTTTTCTCAACGGCCGTCTATTACCGCACTCATTTCCGACGAGCACGACTACACGTTCGGTGTCACGTACCACCAGCGAAAACACATTTCGGAGCAATAGTTCGAGTAGCCGAAGCAGTTATAGTAGCAGCCCGACATCTTACACTCCAAGAACAAGCACTTGTAATATCTTCAAGATCACAAGTTCTAGTACCGGACATGGGAAAGAGACTAATGTAACATGTTTTGGTACTCGGTCCGAAGAGATTATGTGTCTAAGGCCCGCAACTTCTTTGAAGAAAACAAATACTTGCAGTAGCAAAGAATACTATCACAAGCCATCGTTAATATTGGATCTAAAGAAGAGACCACCGATGAAAAATGGTAAAGCCGTAATTACTTCAACGACAAATAAGGTTTCGTATTTGCCGCAATGCAAGAGGAAGAAGGCAACGGAGATTGTGACGGCGCAGCTTTACGGGTCGTATTCACGGCGGTGGCAGCATATAACTCCGGTGTTTAAAAGAGAAGGATCGGTGAAAAGTAAAGGAGGAGGGATTAAGGTCGGTGGACGGAAGAAGAAGACGACGACGAGGAAGAAGCCAAAGAAGACGGAGGAGAGAAGAGGAATGAGTAAGTTGATGAAGTGGTGGAAGAGGATTTTAAAGGCGGTGGTGTTTGCTTGCAGGGAGTGTCATGCAATGGAGCCTCAGATACTTGTAAATGATGATGCTGATGTGAAAAAGAAAGATAACTAAATGTCCATAATCAAAATTTCAATGTTTTTCTAATCTATTTGGTTGTTTTTTTTTTTTTCTTCTGCTTACTTGCTTAGTATGTGTAAAGAAAATTTTAAAATATCTAAAAGATCAACTTTTGGAAAAAATTGAATACATTATATGATTTTAATCAAAAAGACTAGTTTTGGATTTTTTTATCAAGTGACTCAAATGTTTTCTTCATTTTTAGTAATATAATTACTTCAGATTTTGTAAAAATAAGAAAAATATACACAACAATTTCAACAACAACAACAAAATTTGCACTATTTTCACCAATTTGTTTTTTAAAATTGCACTAATCATCAATGAATGCATCTTTTTTGCTTGGGTTTAATTTAAACTAAGAACGCTCATCAAAGTTTGGGCTGGGCCTGTCTTATAACTCGGTAAGATTGGGTCGGGTCGTGTATCTTTAGCTGGATAAGTTAGTCAAGTCGGGTCGGGTCGTTTATTAATTTTTTTTAAGGAAAAAAACAAAAAATCAGAAGTAAAAAACAAAAATGAAAAATTGAATAATCAAAATCGAGAAAACTTCATAATCGAAGTTCTTCTTCTCGATCTCTTGGTGCTCGAGAGAGAGCATTGGATAGAGAATTTTCTTGGGAAAGTAATAGAAGAACGAAGACTAAGGAAGAAAAACTAAGATCTGTTTATATTCGACGCGTCTTCTTCGTTCACCTATAAGGTAATCTGAATGCGATCCTGTAATTTTCTCTGATTTGTTCACATCGCAATCGTTGAAAATTTAGGACTTCTTTGCTTTTGTGATTAATCCAATTGGAGAAAATTCAATGAAGGTGTTGAATTTTTGCTATCCTATAGTGGAAAAATTTGTTCTTTTGTTTCTTTGCTTGTATCGAGTAAAGAGTCTATATGCATTGTGATAATCAGATTTTAGTTATAGATCTCAGTTTTGGGAATGGGCTGTGTAATAGTTGAAGGGTTGACTCAATTTGGGGAATTTTGATTGCAAGTGAGATTCTTCTGCTTGTAATTGGCGAATTTATTGATGCAATCAAGTTTTTGCAGAGGGGAAGAAGGTGATTTTTTTTGTTTATTTGTTGTGGAAATGGATGATGTTGCTGGTTTACAAGAGGCAGCTGGAACCAGATTTAGCCAGTTTGAGTTAATCGGAAGAGGATCGTTTGGTGATGTCTACAAAGCGTAAGTATTTTCTTAAGATTTTGCAGTTATTAGCTTCTTCACTTTGAAAGAATAGAGTGGTACTGATAGATGTGTTTTCATCTGGAATATAAAAATTCATGAAAGCATCTTTTGGTTATCACACAACAATACTGATATGTGAGCGGAAAAAGCAGAAATTTGTGGAAGAAATATTATCCCATTCCATGCCTCTTGATCTAGGAGAGTCTGATTCACATTAGTTTTCTATCTTGTCCAATAAGGACTAACTAAGATTAGTTGCGTCTACCTTATTCATGTGCTGAGCTGTTGCCTCTGCTTATCAGGTTTGATACGAAGCTTAACAAAGATGTTGCCATTAAAGTTATTGATCTGGAAGAATCGTAAGTATTTGCATTTTTTATATGTTTTTTTGCGCTATCAAATATGTAGTCTCCAGTTACACTTTTGGATAGTATTTTGTTTGCTCTGTAATTAAATTGAACAAAGGTAATCTTTTATATGCTACTTGTTTGCGATTCTTTAAGTCATTAATCTATATTCGATTTTCTCTATAAAATAGCTCTAGTTTCCAGCTGTAGTATCCTTGTCTCAGGAATACCACAATGCTCAGTGCCCTTTTCTAACTAGCCCTTTTGCTTCATATGTGACAGAGAAGACGAGATTGAAGATATACAGAAGGTATCTCTTGGATTGACGTTGATTTTTTTTGTTAGTATTAGTATGCAGGATTCTCGTGTTCACATTTTGTTGATAACCCCAGGAAATTTCAGTATTGTCACAATGCCGTTGCCCATATATTACCGAATACTATGGTTCTTACCTTCACCAGACCAAGTTATGGATCATCATGGAATATATGGCTGGTGGCTCAGTTGCTGACCTTGTATGTTATTTCACTTCTTGGCTGAGTTGAGATATAAAATTGTTTGTGTGGTGATGCACACATCTCTGTGAATTTCTTATTCTTTAATTCTCGTTTGTGCAAATTCTAATCTGTTAAACTATATTGCGAGTGTAGCTTCAACCGGGTAATCCATTGGATGAAATTTCAATTGCTTGTATTACGCGCGACCTACTTCATGCTGTTGAATATCTCCACGCTGAGGGAAAAATCCACAGAGATATTAAAGGTTTTCTCTGCTAATATATTTTAATATGTTATGGCTTTTCTTGATCCAACTGTGTGTTCTCATCGCTTGTTGCATGGCAATTTTTTTCTTTCTATTTTTGCAGCCGCCAATATTTTGTTGAGTGAGAATGGTGATGTTAAGGTATTCTCTACTTCTTAAACTTATTTGATTAATTTCTTAAAATTTCTTTTTCTGTCCAAGTGGTTTAGTTGCGCAGCTGATCTCAAACTTCTTTCACGCATACCAGGTCGCGGACTTTGGTGTTTCTGCACAATTAACCCGGACAATATCAAGGAGAAAGGTGCTTATCTTATTATACTAATGAATCTCCTGAATCTATATCGTGTTTCTTTCTTCGTCATTTATTGTGCTTACTGTTCTAGTAATTAAAAATTTAGAATGTTCTTAAATAGGCCCACTCACTTTATTACCCTTATCGCTGTGGTTTTGTGCAGTTTCAGTTCCCATGCACTACGTCACAGAATTTTGTGCATGCATTCCAATGTTTGAACATCTTAAGAATTTTATGTCATAAGTTGTCCTATGGGAGCTGAAGGATAACTATCTTTTTAATTTATGTTGAGTTCTCGCCTATGATGGTTTGATGTTATTATACAACTATTCGGACTGCATTCGCTAATAATATAAAATGGGCAGACATTTGTAGGAACACCATTTTGGATGGCACCAGAAGTGATTCAGAACTCAGAAGGGTATAATGAGAAGGTATCTCGTCCATCTGCCGTAGCTTCTTTTGTTCTTCTTGTTTACCCAATCTTGTGTATGCCCTGGCTTTACTTGTTTTGTAGCCCTTTCTAATCTTGTCTGTTCTGATTCTGGGTTGATTTTTTCCAGGCAGATATATGGTCTCTTGGAATAACAATGATCGAGATGGCAAAAGGAGAACCTCCCCTTGCTGACCTTCATCCTATGAGAGTGCTTTTTATCATTCCCCGGGAAAGCCCTCCTCAGGTTTCATCCTAATACTGCCATATGTCTTGATTGTGAAGCCGCCTTTCACGACCTAGATATTTAACGTTTGTATTTCCTCCGCAGTTAGATGAGCATTTTTCACGTCCTTTGAAGGAATTTGTTTCGTTCTGCTTGAAAAAGGCTCCTGCTGAGGTACTTGTAGTGTGGTCTCTGATCTTTATTGTCAGCAGTGAAATGCAAGATCTCTCATACAACTCTTTCTTATACTTTCAGAGACCAAGTGCCAAAGAACTTCTCAAACATAGATTTATAAAGAATGCTAGGAAAAGCCCGAAACTACTTGAAAGAATAAGGTGTGATCTTTGTTCTTCCAACAGTGTTGGTTTGTGGTTTCAATTTATTTACTCCGCTTATTTTATTGTGTGACAATAACTATGCGGTTTGATTTATTGTTTCCTCAGTTGATTCGTTTTTTCCGATCTGCTATATGCCAAGCGAAAATACAGAACAGGATGATTTCTAATGCTGTTCTTTTTCTTTTGTTTGAAGAGAGCGGCCAAAATACCAAGTAAAAGAGGACGAAGAGATTCCAACAAACGGTCCAAAATCTCCCGTGGAATCATCTGGGACTGTTAGAGTGGCTGGAGATGAGAGGGGCCAGGGAACTTCTGGAACTAGGTGCGATAAATGGTCTACTCTTGGGATTTCTTCTCTCTTTCTTGTTCGTCAAAATCTTAAGAACTTGGAGCTACAGTTTTCAGGTAAAAACTGTCAGAAATGCGGGGTGGGACTTTAGCTTTGGGGGTTCACAGGGTGCTGGAACTGTTCGAGCTTTAAAACCTCCACAAGCCAGGGAAAGGCGCCAAGAAGTTAGTTCTAATCAGACTTCTCAAAAAACATCACGAGCCAGTGGTAGTCAATTGTCATCCACTTTTGGTGTCCCTGAAATCTCTGAAGGAGGTTTTATTAAAAGAGATTCTTATCAGAATGACTATCAAGAAGAAGTAAGTTCCTTTGCCTCTTGTGTGCCTAGATGCAGTCCCATTCTTTCTTATTAGCAGACATTGCTCGGGAAAATCCTCTTGAACTTCACAAATATATCATGATCTATTCTATTGTGTTTCAAGTTAACCATTTTCAATTTGATTTAAGTTCCTTTCATTTGGGGGATTATCACATCTTCAGAAGGATTATTAATATAGAATAAAAAGAACTGGAACGTGGTAGATACTAGATCATACTTTTCTCATCCTTGTCATTCTGAATTTTCAGGATGATTCAAGTGGTTCTGGAACTGTTGTCATAAGATCTCCGAGAAACTCTCAGTCATCTTCAATGTTTCGTGATCAAAGCTCTGGGGTATTGGAAATTCTTCCTCTCTTTTTTTTTTTAACTTATAAAGCAAGTCTGTGTGCTTTGCCTTGGTCCTTTCATGCTGTTCCAACAACTAGTATGTCTAATTCCAGTTCTGCTGTGTAGTCTGCCAACAGGTATACGTCTTTTGATGATGCTTCTACAAGTGGAACAGTCGTTGTCCGTGGGCAGAATGATGATTCTGGATCACCTCGAACACCAAGATCTAGACTAGGGCTTCAAGAAAGAAGTTCCAGTGCCTCAGAAGATAGCATCTCAAATCTTGCAGAGGTTGTTTAAAACTTTATCTTTTGAAGCTGTCTCTGAAATTACAAGCTATTCTACTGTGTTCTTATTCATTTCCGTTCTTCTTTCAGGCAAAATTAGCACTTGAAGCAGGATTCAGAAGAGGGAATGCTAGGGAAAAACTTGGAAATGGGAAGGTTAACAAAAGAAGGGAACAAGCAACAGATAATTCTGATTACTTGAGGTTAGTGTGTTTATGCATACTAAGCTTCTGCTGGTCACAGGATTTGTCTGGTTATTTCTTACATGAAAGCTGTTACCTTGCAGAAATTCCCGCGATCATTCTGATAAACAGAAACCAGTCATAAGATCACAACAAGTGAGTGATGATGAAGATGACTCCAAATTAGCATCATTGTCTGCATCATTGTCACTATTGCTATTACCATCCCTAAAAGAGGTAAGCTCCTACTTATGATATCTATCAACTATGCTCACATTTGGCATCTTACTTCTCTCAGTGAGTTGGGAGTTGTCTTCAATTTTGAGAAAAAAAAGGTTTCGTTTTTGAGTTAGAAGCCGCAAATAATGTAGGCTGTTGGGGGTGACGACTCAAAAGGATCTGTTGGACATAGAGTTTCTAGATCCTTAGTGAACATGGAACGCGAAAAGCCTGGTTCTTCGGAAGCTTTTATTGCCAAACTGATCGAACAGTTGGGAAGGTACGGGAAACTCTAAAAGAACATACACACACTAGTTGCATACAGTATCAGTCTGTTTTATTGTCAATACTTTGATCTGATGAACCTCGAAAATCGTCATACAGTACAAAGGAAGTGTCAGTGAAAGAAGTGCAAGACATGGCGATCCGTGTGTTCGCTAAGACGATGAACAATGATGCAGAGAACAAAAGAAAGCAAGCTAGCAAAGAATTTAGTTCCAATGCAAACTTTAGTCCACTTGCAAGATTCTTATTCTCAAGGTCTGATTGATGATTAACATTAAATCTTTTCCTGAAACGAAAACAGATTAATAACTTCAAATGTTTTCTTTTCTGTGTGTTTGCAGATGGCTAGGTCAAACATCGCGTGATCTTAACCAAAGTTGAGACACGCACAGAAGACAGAACATAAGAATGTTGTTTGTGTGTCTTTTACATTGATTTGATGCATTGAATTTTGGTATTTATGTGTATAATTTTTCATCAGAAAAAAGGGTGTATTTATAAAATTTTAAGTTTCTTTTTCTTTTTTTTAATTGTCATTTCCTTCCTTGTTTTGGCTCTTTAGTTTTATCTTTATTTTTCCTTCCTGGTTTTTTCGAGAGGAAGCATATTTATAGTTGTATAATTAAGGGCTTGCCTTTATCTGTGATAATATGTAATCCACTCTTACCATTTCATTCATAAACCAGTACTCATAATCATTATTTCTGTTTCTCTTTCTTTAACTCTCTCTCTCATATGACAAAAGTAATCAATTTGGCAATTTGTGTGGTTCATGAATCGGACAACTCAATGCAGCTGTAAACTGAAACTTTTGACTAACAAGAGTTATTACCATGAGGGGAACTGTAGTGAATCAAACATATCCTCAAGTTGCAGGAACACTAGCTCGGTCTTGGTTTAGATGGTTAAGTCCCAACTCTCAAATGCCCAGCAAACCGAAGAAGCATACCTCCAGGCTCCAGCTCTCACTATTCCAATGGACTCACCAAATCAGTCATCTAGAAGACATCTATAACGGACTATGTCGCTCACAGCATCAAACAGAAACTACGAAACACAAAGAAACATCTATAACCCTAGTCTCTCTTAGAAATTAAGATTAATTCTTGGAAGTTAATAGAGACCCTTAGAGCACCTCCATCGTACCATTGACGGAGGTGCTCTTATATAGGCCTTCATCCAACTTACTTATGCAAAAAAAAAAAAAAACACTTTAACATAGAAAGGAAAATATGAAAACCAAATTCATAAAGTAGAGCAACAAAACTAAATAATTAAAACGTCTTAACTGTACCCTAATCAACCTAACCATAGTCTCGTATCAAGTTACTAACACAAACTATTCTTCTTCTTCAGTTGAGGACGACAATCAGGCCTTTTCATTCGCCTTTGCCATTTCCTCACCTTCAAAAATGTAAAAGAGTCTTGACTCTTGTTTAGTGTATGGGGGATTCCATTATACCTCCGGTTATGGTGTCAATGTAAAAGCTACAAGCAATTCCGATGATGCCAATACAGTATTCGCAAAGTTTGATGGAGAAATACGATAATCAATTTGTTCTAACAACAATTTTAAAGTAACGTACGTGCAAAATTAAAAATGCTCCTTTTTTACTTAGTCAGCGAAAATATTAATTTATGTACAAAATAAAATGAAATTTCGGGTCACATAAAATCACCATTTTATGTTTTCTCAATGAGTAAAAAAAAAAAAAAAAGAATGTGTCTAAAGCTTCACAAAGGACACGTATTCATTATACGTACACGTGATTATACAATAATGTATTATCCAATAAACGTAGATGAGTAAGTGGTCCCTTTTTGGTCGGAGAAATGGTCAAAGAACGAAAGGACCTAGTTTTTTTTTTTCTCTTTTATTTTACTAAAATCATATAGTCACAGTCACAGTCACAGAGCTCGAAAACGGAGTTTTGTTCGCCGTTATTATCGACGTGGCTCAAACACCGTCACAAAAAAAATAGAACTGTGAGGGTAACTCCTCAGCCGACGCGCTTAGAGTGACTGTCAGTCACCTTAACATATATGACAGCACCACGTGTCGCCAAACATTGTCCTGAATCCTGATGAAGCCACACGTGGATCGGACTAATTCGGATCCTAGTATGGTAGCCTCCAACATTAAATTGGTAACGTAAAAAGGTTTGCAAATTTGCAATCCTCAATTGATGAAACATCTATTTATGGGAGAGATGTCCAAATGTATACAACATGAATGCAGAGTCGTGCGTGGTGACATGACATGAGTGCAATATGGTTGAGTGGGGCTAAATGTAGTTAGTGTTAAGTAAAGGGCTCAATTTAAACTATTCAACTTTTTCTTTTAAAAGATTATGAAATAAGAATTTGGAATTATGTTAAACGATAAGTATTTTTTGGAATTTAACAAGTGTTGTTAACTCGCACATCCCAATAGTATCCGGCGTTTTGATGGAAAAAAAAATAACACAAACACCAACGCATAAATCCAAAAGCCGTTCTACGTAACGCAAGTCATAATAGTAAAAATATTAAAAGAGATTTCAAATGTTTTCTACTGGTCCTTGTAGGTCCAATTTCGCCGTCCGTGTTCCAAATTCAATCTTCATTATCCCAAAAAAGGAAAAAAAGAGTTAAAGTTACTACATCCGTCCACGTGGTAACGATGACGACTCCAGCCGTTGGTTCTAAGACCATAGTGCTTAACTGTTTTATACGTTTTTTTATCACAAAGTTGGCGACAAGAATCAAAATCAAATCTCATCCTTCCTTTGTCTCTCATTATGAAGTCGCCCTTCTTATCTTTAACATATACCATTTTTAATCACATATACACTATTAACTTAAGCAAGAGTCTTAACTATTTGTTAGATACGTAATTAGTCTTCCGAGTTAAAAGTTTGATGCAAAACACAAAAGTCAAAAGTTAAAAAAGCAGTCCAAACTGTGAAAATGACGTAAGCGTAAAGAAGTATTATTCTAACGTACGCCGCAGCCAGAGAAGATGGGTCCGGTCCTCCCACGATTGGTGCGTGTCTTCACGACACTTGGACCATTGTCTTTTCAAGCCGACGCCGATACTCATAACTATTTTTAGTCTTATAATAATCATACAAATAACATTATCATTCTTTATCTATTTCCTACACACGACCCCCCTAAAAAAAAAGCTCTATAATAATTTATCTTTCTGTTTTTCCTATATTCTTGAATTATGAATTATAGATGAGAAATCAGTTAGTTGCAAAGAAAAAAAAAACTTAAAGATTTTCTTATGTTACGTCGATTATATTATAGGGTTTGATAATAATATATAGTTATATACATAACGACTTTTTTCCATGGCAGCTAAAAATTATATTTTAGCTTTTCTCCACTTTCTTCTAAAAAACGGATAATATTTTTTTTTCTTAGGCAGAAAAAGAAAACGTTATTTTTTTTTCCTAAAGAAACGACATAAGAAAGAAAAAAAAACTCACGGCCTATTCCGCCGGAGGAGCTAAGTTAAGATCCAGATCTAACGGCTGAGATATCTTCCCAGCTCCACCTTCGAAATCAACGACCGACGACGTTTCAGACTCGCTCTGGACACCACACGCCGTCATCTTCCTCGGATACGCCGCCATGTTAAAGTAGTAAACCGGGCGTACAAGCGGGATCTTACGACGACACGCGCCGCCTCCTAAGCTGAGCTCGAGCTGCGGAGGTGTTACAAACCTTGCCGCCGTGGGAGATGTAGAGTCGATGACGGTGCTACTCTGAGTAGGACTACCAACGAAAACACCATCCGTTTTCCCGTTGAGTTCAAGAAACGTCGGAAAATTGGTCTTAGCCTTGGAACCACGAAAGTCACGCGCTGCTGCGTCGTAAGCACGCGCCGCCTGCTGAGCGGTATCGAACGTACCGAGCCAGACCCGAGTTTTCTTAACTGGATCTCGGATCTCAGCGGCGTATCTTCCCCATGGACGTTTCCTAACGCCTCTGTAACGAATCTCTTTGGCAGCATTACTCTCATGATGAGTCGGGTTCGTTGGAGCAACCGGGTCGGGTTTGGAACCCATGATGAATGATAGGTCGGGAGAAGAAAGGAACGAGAAGATCGGTGAAAGAGTTTTGTGGTAATGAGAAGAAGAAGAAGAAGAGCTTCTTTTTATAGGAGGAGATTGAGAGTAAAGCAACGCTCCTTTTGGGGAGCTTTCTTGTGAACAGTCAAAGCCATTTTGAGAGATGGTTTAATTATCTCTCTCTCATGCTTCTCTTATTATTACATATAAAACCGGTTTTTGTTTATATATCCACTTATGTTTAGCCACGTGTGCACTTCGCTTCCTGCAAAGAATCTTATTTTTTACCCTTTCTTTTTTTCTTCCTTGAAACAAAGACTGCACAAATTACAATCTTATAAATTAAGTTACTGGCTATTAAGAATATAATTCAAATTGGTTGATGTTTCATTTATCCATAGTATTAAAACTATAAAACTTGTTTGTACTAAATCTATAAAACAAGTTATATCGCCGCTTTGTAATATTAGGTAAATTTTTCTTATTAAAAGCAATGTAATATGCGGATTTAAATCTATATGATGACATACCGATAATACTAATGTACACTACTAAACTATATGTTTTAGTTAGGGTCAATATATATATAAAAAAACACTATTATGTGTATATCATCTATATAGAAGAAAATTATCGTATTGTAGTTTAGTGGACCGTTATATATGTTGTTACCGTATCAACAAAAAATATATTTATTACTTACATATTATATTGTAAAAAGAAATTTAGCGAACAAATTTTCGGGTTTGTAAATTAGTATACCGTTATATATATGTCGTTAAAGTATCGACAAAAAAAATATTTTTTGCTTTTCTATTTGGTAAAAAATGAATAAAATCGAACAAAATTATTTGTAATTTGTAATTTAGCGGATCATTATGTATGATGGTACCATGATGACAAAAAAACACATATATACTAGATGCAAGCCTATTTGGTTTAAAGGGAATATTACCGAACAGATTTGTAGTTTAGTATACCGTTAGTCCGTTATAGATGTCGTTAATGCGCCGACATAAAAAAGAGAAATCTACGATGTGCATGTCTATCTGGTGAAAAGTAATACTCTCGAACAAAATTGTCGGAATTTTGTATTTTATTGGATCTTATATATGACGATAAAAAAAACGCATATCTACTATTTGCTTGTTTATTTGGTGAAAATATATCACCAAAAGAGATTGTTAGATTTATAGCTAGCGAACCATTATATGTATTTTTAGCATACCAAAAAAAGGAGAAATCTACTATTTGCATATGTATATTGGATTAAAAATGAATATCATCAAACAAAATATTTGAATTTGGTAGTTTTGTGGACAAAAATATATGTCGTTACATTGACGAAAACAAAAAATATGCCGCTACAGTGACGATAATAAAAAAAAAAAACCGATTATTTACAGGTCCATTTGGTTAAAAAAAAAAGAGAATACTATCGAATATATTTGTTGGATTATTGTAGTTTAGAAGACTTTTATACATGTAGTCTATTGTGTTACCAATTATATATGATCATAGTTAGAGTGAAGTATAATCTAGTCAAATAAACGCACAACAAAAAAAAAATTTGTGCCAACTTCAAACTTAAGTTAGAAAGTAACTTCTTGATTGTCGCTCATTCCAAAAGAGTATAATTTACAAAACTAATGTCCTTCAATTTTTCTTGGCTAGACGGGCTCAATAATGTGATCTAAAATTCAATCGTCGAGGGTCATAAAATAAAAGAAAGAGAAAAAAAAATATCATAGATAAAACTCATCCAAAAGATTGTAAAAATATATTTTTCAAAATACCTCGATAACTTGATCAACTTTAAAAAGTCCGTCTCAAACTTTGATGTGTTAGAATATTTACTAACTTATGACTTCAATACTCAATATGTTTTCAGTGATATAAAGAATCTCTGGTATTATTGAGTCAGTTTAAATAAAAACTGGTTTGGAACAAGATTAAAGTTTTTGGAGCAAAATCAAGAAAAAATACAAGAAATGAAGGTGTCGATCGAGAGCTGCTATGTTGCATCAATCAACAGCCCGTTAAGAGGCAAGACAAGGCAAAACAATTGTTGAATGAATTGATCGACAATTCATCATGCCAAATCCATTTTGTCGGCCGAATCGATCGATACGAAAAGAGTATTGATCAACAGCCTCTTGAGCCTAACTAGGCCAAGACCTATAGTCAGCCTAATCGGTTGACATCTCTATGCATGTTGATTGACATATTCTTTAACCAAAAAGAGAGTTTTGAGTATCTTTTTGTCTTGGAGTCTCCCTATATTGACATATAACCAACCCATCTGATCGATTATTTACATGCCTATTTGGTAAACAAAAAAAAAAATACTATCGAATACATTTGTTGGATTTTTTTTGTAGTTTAGAAGACTGTTATTACAGCATACTACAATGGCAAATCAAGATTAAAGGAAACTAAAAGATATTGCAGACAGCACATTACCACCTTTTGATGATGATTTTTAGTTAGTTCACTGAAATCTCCTATAATTACCATAAACCCGATTGAATAGATCATATCCTTGTTAACATTTTGCCATTTCCATACAATTTATCACCAACTTAACAAGGAGATCACCACAAACAAAAGATAAGTAGACCTTATTACCTTGAAACAATGCATCAACATCAATGGCTATGTTACTCGAATAAAAAACATTTAATTTGGCTTCATTATTGTCGAACAAATCTAAACTACCACTAGAACGTAACCTCTTAGTTCAACAGTAAAAACCTTATTAATTTCTTCATAAAATTATAAACCTTGCAAGTAATAAATTCATGCTTTAATTTGTCTCCGATAGAAATAGTAAATCTAGTTTAAATTACTGCCACAATTTCTTTAGATGCCTAGCTGCCGAAGAGCTTCTTAGTTCTTGACAATATTAACTCAAGTTTTTCATGATTCGGCTGGTGAATTTGAAATAAGCCGCTATACCATGTTTCCGAACATGTTTATACGGTGTCATATCAACACTCCACTTTTTTTTTAGAAATTACCAATGTCTTCTTCATATCTTAGTTTCTTATTCCTAAAATATTATAAGTGTCCTGATTTTGTATCATTCAGATTTGATATTAGTTGGAATTAATGAACGGTGGTTGTGAATATATTGTCATATATTACCTATCATTAGGAATATTTGATCTAATCATATTACGATGATACACAATTTACAATAATATACGGTTACACGATAAATAACTTCCATTTCCATGAATAACGATTCTATGATGAATCTTTCCTCGCAACACTCGGATTCACAACGAACAGTTTTGCATCTTTCACAACCGATAGACAAATTTTCTCTGAAATATATCAGACCACGACAGACAGCTCCACCTATAGTACTCTTTAACTTCCGATAAAGCTTGCATCAATAATATGCAAGAAACTGCGTTCTTTATAAATCGAATCCTAAACTTGGAGTCAAAAAATTTTAACCTTTGACCATTGGGTGACAAAAACTATCAAACAAAATTTTATGCAAAAAATTAATATGGTATCAATACAATAATAACCCTTGAATCTCTCCAGAGGTTGACACCTCAGCTTTTTTAAGCATTGTGGTGTTGACACCTCAGTTAAAATGAATGACCAATGAAAACATTCTAAATAATACAACTCATTTTTCATATCCAATAAGAACCTTTCATTTAATAACCCTTGAATCTCTCCAGAGGTTGACACCTCAGCTTTTTTAAGTATTGTGGTGTTGACACCTCAGTTAAAATGAATGACCAATGAAAACATTCTAAATAATACAACTCATTTTTCATATCCAATAAGAACCTTTCATTTTTCCACATTATTCTCTTATATAGAATATCAAAATGGGCCTAAACTCATGGGCTTAACCCAGTCCGGTCCGGTTATGAACACAAAATATTAAATCCGTTTAAAAAAGGATCTTGCGGGCAATCCTACACGGATTACGGATTTTAGAAAGTTATGCCCGAAGATTGACAGATTGGCCCGCGCTACATATATATAAAAAAAAATTAATATATCATATATAGAATTAAATATTTTATATATTTTTGTAAATATAATATGTCAAGAATATGTGATAATATAAAATTTAAATTATAAAATTATTATATTTACAAAAAAGATAGTATTAAAAGTTTTTTAATGGTGTTTACACATTAGCTTTTCAAGCTATTCTCAAACTAGCACATCATTAAAACTGATACATAATCAAAATATAAGTACTAAACAAAACTGAACATGGTAATTAATTCAGCATCTCTAACTAATACGATCTTTGAAAATTCTAATTATTAATTCTTAAAGTTGCAAAAGATATAAAATAATTAGTAAAATTTAATATTTATAAAATTTACTATATTTAGAGTGCACATGGTAATGATACTTTTTGTAATAATTGGTTCCGAATAGTATAAAAGTAAACAATCAAGTTCTAAAATTTTATTTAATTATATCAAATCACTAAATAAAAAATTCAAAAAATACCTTTGCTACGAAAATAAATTATTAACTGAAAAATATACTAGAATTTTACTTTTGAAACATCTTTTCATTAGATATTAACGTTGGCAATAGAGACTATAATTATAATTACAAAGTCTAACTACATAAATAAAAAACTAATCCCTAGAAGTACATTTTTTTACAATTTAAGTAAAGATAAAACATTAAATTATAAACACTAGGTTCTCTCCAGTGCTGACACCTCAGTTTTTTGGAGTGTTCTGGACATGACACATCATTAAAATCATCATCCAATAAAAATATTTGGATTAATACACATCAGATTTTTTGGCCAATAATCATCCATTCTGCTTTTATTAATATTGTCTCATTTGTTCTTGGGCTCTAACATATGGGTTTAATGTTTTAGAATAGGATTGTTGGACTTCAATTTAGGGCTTGATTGGTTCTCCCGCCTAGCGGTTGTTAGCGGTTGGTTGCGGTTGTTAGCGGTTGGTTGCGGTTGTTAGCGGTTGGTACCAATCATAGAAACTGTTCCATACCACTTCGAACAGTTCGAAATCGCTGGATTTTAAAAGCTCCTTTCCG